TAAATGTAAAATGGACTAAATGCTCCAATTAAAACACAAACTGTGGAAACTGGATAAAGTCAAGACCCATCAGTCTGCTGTAATGAGGAGACCCATTTTACAGGTGGAGACATACATAGGCTCAAAATAAAGGGGGATGGGAGGAAGATCTACTAAGCAAACAGAACAAAAAAACAGAGGTTGCAATCCTAGTCTGGATAAAACAGTTTAAACCATCAAGGTCAAAAAGAGACAAAGAAGGCTCATTTACATAATGTTTAAAGGGATCAATTCAACACGAAGAGCTAACTATCCTAAATATATATGCACACAATACAGGAGCACCCAGATTCATAAAGCAAGTCCTTAGAGACTTACAAAGGGCTTAGACTCCACTTACAACCAATGGAAGACTTCCCAAACCCTACTGTCAACGTTAGACAGATCAAGAGACAGAAAGTTAACAAGGATATCAGAAATTGAACTTAGCTCTGCACCGAGTGAACCTAATAGACATCTACAGAACTCCCACCCCAAATCAGCAGATATACATTCTACTCAGCACCACATCGCACTTATTTCACAATTGACCACATAGTGGAAGTAAAGCACTCCTCAGCAAATGTGTACAAGGGCAAATTATAACAAAGTGTCTCTCAGACCACAGTGCAAAGTCAAACCCATTCCAGGACTAAGAAACTCAATCAAAACCGCTCCAACTACATGGAAACTGAATAACCTGCTCTGAATGATTACTGGCTACATAATGAAATAGAAGGCAAAAATAAGATATTCTTTGAAACCAATGAGAACAAAGACACAACATGCCAGAATCTCTAGGACACATTTAAAGCAGTGTAGAGAAATTTACAGCACTAATTGCCTACAAGAGAAAGCAGGAAAGATCTAAAATTGACACTCTAATATCACAATTAAAAGAACTAGAGAAGCAAGAGCAAACATTCAAAAGCTAGCAGAAGGCAAGAAATAACTAAGATCAGAGCAGAAACGGAAGAATGAAGACACAAAAACCCTCCAAAAAATCAATGAATTCAGAATTCGGTTTTCTGAAAGATCCAACAAAATTGATAGACTGCTAGCAGAACTAATAAAGAAGAAAGCGAAGAAGAATCAAAGAGACGCAATAAAAAGCGATAAGGGGATATCACCACCAGCCCCACAGAAATACAAACTACCATCAGAGAATACTATAAACACCTCTACACAAATAAACTAGAAAATCTAGAAGAAATGGATAATTTCCTGGACACTTACACTCTTTCAAGACTAAACCAGGAAGAAGCTGAATTCCTGAATAGACCAATAGCAGGCTCTGAAGTGAGGCAATAATTAATAGCCTACAAACCATAAAGTCCGAGACCAGATGGATTCACAGCTGAATTCTACCAGAGGTAAAAGAAGGAGCTACAGTGCATTCCTTCGACTATTCTAATCAATTGAAAGAATCCTCCTAACTCATTTTAGGGAGGCCAACATCATCCTGATACCAAAGCCTGGCAGAGACACAACAAAAAAAAAAGAGAATTTTAGACCAATATCACAATTATGAACATTGATGCAAAAATCCTCCAATGACTGGCAAACCGGATCCAGCAGCACATCAAAGAGCTTATACACCATTATCAAGTGGAAGCTTCATCCCTGGGATACAAGGCTGGTTCAACATATGCAAATCAATAAACATAATCCAGCATATAAGCAGAACCAAAGACAAAAAACACATGACTATCTCAATAGATGCAGAAAAGGCCTTTGACAAAATTCAACAGCAGCTTCATGCTAAACACTCAATAAATTTGGTATTGATGAGACGTATCTCAAAGTAATAAAGAGCTATTCATGACAAACCCACAGCAATATCATACTGAATGGGAAAAACTAGAAAATTCCTGTTTGAAAACTGGCACAAGAAAGGGATGCCCTCTCTCACCACTCCTATTCAAGATAGTGTTGGAGGCTCTGGCTAGAGCAATCAGGCAAGAAAAGAAATCAAGGAGTATTCAGTTAGGAAAAGAAAGTCAAATTGTCCCTGTTTGCAGTGGCCAAGATTGTATATTTAGACGCCCCATTGTCTCAGTCAAAATCTCCTTAAGCTGATAAGCAACTTCAGCAAAGTCTCAGGATACAAATCAATGTGCAAAAATCACAAGCATTCTTATACACCAGTAACAGACAAACAAGAGCCAAATCATAGATAAATCCATTCACAATTGCTTCAAAGAGAATAAAATACCTAGGAATCCAACTTACAAGGGATGCAAAGGACCTCTTCAAGGAGAACTACAAACCACTGCTCAGTGAAATAAAATAGGACACAAACAAATGGAAGAACATACCATGCTCATGGATAGGAAGATCAATATCATGAAAATGGCCATACTGCTCAGGAGTAATTTATACATTCAATACCATTCCCATCCAGTTGCAACCAACTCATGCAGAGGTGGAAAAACCTGCTTCAAGGATTCTTATGGAACCAAAAAGAACCCACATTGCCAAGACAATCTAAGTCAAAAGAACAAAGCTGGAGGCATCCACGTTACCTGACTTCAAACTATAGTACAGTATAATCATTTTACCTCTTTAGTTAAACTTATTCCTAAAATATTTTATTCTTTTTGATATTAATAAGACTTAAAAATTTTTTCTTAATTTCCCTTCAGATTGTTCATGGTTAGTGTAGTGAAATACGACTGATGTTTGAATGTTGATTTTGTATTGTGCAACATTACTGAATTCATTTAATTCTAACAGGTCTGTTCCATCTTTAGAATTTTCTACATATAAGTTCAAGTTATCTGCAAACAGAAATAATTTTACTCCTTTCTTCCAATTTGAATGTCTTTTTTAAAATTCTCGCCTAATTTTTCTGACTAGATTTTTCAATACTACATTGAATGGAAGTGTCAAAAGCAGCATCCTTGTCTTGTTCCTGCTCATACAGGGAAATCTTTCAGTCTTTCTCCATTGAGTATGATGTTAGCATTGGGTTTCTCACATATTGTCTTTATGTTGAGGTGGTGTCCTTCCATTCTTAGTTAGAATGTTGTTACTGTGAAAAAACATTGAATTCCATCAAATGCTTTTATTGATTCAATCTTATTACTGATTATAGTTCTATTCATATTTTTGTGTTTTTCTAGGAATTCATCTATTTCATCTAGGTTATCCAATTTATTGGCATACAATTATTTCCAGTAATTTCATAATCATTTTATTAGAATAGGTAGTAATCACTTCATTTTCTTTTTTTTTTATTTCTTTCTTTCTTTCTTTAACAGAGAGAGACAGGCTCTCACTTTGTAGGCCAGCCCAGGCTGAAATACAGTGGCATGATTATGGCTTACTGCAGCCTCAATCTCCTGGGCTCAAGCAATTCTCCTTCTTCAGCCTCCCAAGATACTAGGAATACAGATGCATGCCAATATGCCCAGCTAATTGATTTTTATTTCTTTTTTTGTAGAGCCTGGGTCTCCCCAGGTTACCTATGCTGGTCCAAACACCTGACCTCAAGAAATCCTCCCATTGTGACCTCCCAAAGTGCTAGGATTAAAATATGACCCATCATATTCAGACTCCATTTTCATTTCTGATTTTAGTAATTTTAATCTTCTCTCTTTTTTCTTAGTCAGTCTATTTAATGGTCGTCAACTTTGTTGATTTTAACTTGAAGAATCAACTTTTGGTTTCATTAATTTCCTGTATTCTTTTTCCATTCTCCATTTTATTTTCATCCACTCCAATCCGTATTGTTTCCTTCATTCACTGTGCTTGGGCTTAGTTTGTTCTTCTTTCAAATCCTGAAGTATGAGAGAACTTGCTTCATACCATTCTTTTAAAGGTTTCATGCAGTCAATGAAACAAGATGCCACACACAGGCGAACCAATGTCAGCTGCTATATTACTACCATCATCATTAGCCTTGAGGTCAAATAGTCCCAGCATCAAATCTCAGATCCACCTATTACTAGCCATACGACACCAGGAAAGGTTTTACACTACTCTAAGCTTCTGTCTTTTCATCGGCAAAATGGAAATAATATCTACTTGACAGAGTTACTGTGTGAATTAAATGAAGTACAGTTAAAGCATTTAGCAAAGGGCCTGGCACATAGGACGTGCCCCTCAACAGTACCGGTTTCCACATATATGTAGAAAGAGAGGTACCACATAAAACACTAGGACACGGTTACTGACTACTTGTGGGAGAGAAAGCAAAAAAACTAAGTGCAAAGAATCAAACCTGGTATGTTAGTTTTTACCAACTGAGATGCATCCAGGATGGGATTAGACATATAAGATAATTTATCAGGGAAGACACGTCTGAGGGAATGTGGGGCAGCCATGAAGGTAATATGGGAGAACTCACAGACCACTATGCAAAGCTGACTCCTGTGAAAAAGAAAGAGAAAGAAGTTTTAGGTATCAATACAGTTTTAAGAGTTTTTGCATGGCTGATGGGGAGTCCTCCAACCAGTTTCCCATTAAAGTTAAACAGAGCCTCAGAGAACTAGGCTTGCTTTCACACCCTTGCTGGGAGCCTGTGGGAAGGAAGCTTTCTGTGCAAAGGACTTGGTGAATTTGAAATGCACTGACCTGGGCCTTCTGTCAATCGTGTCCCTGCCATGAAGACCTGGCAGGGTCTCATTCATGGCTGCCACAACAGAGACACTGAGAAAAAGATGCAACCATGAAAAAGTGGAAAAGTGGAAAGTTCTAACAACATAGAAAATAGCAATCAGCCTTTCTCCCATCTGAAAGCTTTCTGAAATATCGATTGCTGTTGAGAATTGACAGAGGACTGATCACCAAATTAGAAACATGGTTAGAGGGGAAAAAGTCTGCAAGAATATAACCATCTCCCATCAACTTTCCAACAGAAATAATGTATTACTTGAAGAAACAATTATACAGTACCTCGTGTTACATGCTTCTTCCTGAGGCTTCCCCCAGTAAAATAAGATCACCTCCATCCCTCATTTTCTTTCTTTCCATGACAGCTCCTCCAGGAAATGAATATCTATCCTGGCATATTCCGACATAACAACCGTGATGTCATCTCTGTATTTCAGGAAGACTGGCAGGTATGATGGCTTTTTCTCTTGTCCCGTTTCCTGCAGGACTGACTGCCATGCTTGGGAGAGGGAAAATACTTATTTGTCTGTATCTGGGACTGGATCGCCTCCTTCCTCCACCAAACTCCTGCTTCTCAGCACTAATTCCTGCAGTTCCCTTTCTCCCTGACCTTTAACTCCCTGTACCCCCACTGTCTTTTAGACATAATTATCTCCAGCCTCTGTTCGTTTGTTTCTCAGATTCAAACGAGAAACACAATTTCACATTGTGAAACCTTCTTCATTATTTTTCACATCTCTCAATAGTGCAATTCTCTCCATTCCCATAAAGACCAACCACTTCTCAAAGTGTTGCTTGACTTCTTGTCTCCAGACTTTGAAACCTTCCTTGCATATTACTGCCTCATTACCTTTCTAAAATCTAGTTAATTCACTTAATCAAGAATCTCCAAGGGTCTACTCTAGCCTCTTTGTAAGTTCACATTTCTTCTATTTACTAATCCTTCTCACTTCCTTTACCTCTTCTTCCTAGTATAATTCCTCCATCTTAATCAGAACTGTCTTCCTACACATCCCTGCCCCTTCACCCATATAGACATGAAATTCTTAGTTTCAATGCTAAGCCCGAAAACAGGGTGAACTCCCCTCCACCATCTGCACTACAGACTTAACCAAACCCTTCATCACAAGCAATCTCTGACCTCGTGGAGAACAAAGACTTTAGGATTAGCCTGTGAACCTGAGACTCAGAACAAAAACTATGTGTGCTTGAGACCCTTTCCTGATGAACAATTCACGTATTCAAAAAAGATACAGAAATGAAGATGGCAAGGTCCCTACCCCAGGGGATATAAACCCTAAGACAGGAAATGACACCTGAAAATAATCATGATACCAAAATAGAAAAAAAGTGAAGGCCCCAAGAAATCAGAGAAATCTGATGGAAAATATAGCTACACATTGGAATCACTGGAAAACATTTTTTAAAGTGGATGCTCAAGCCCCACCCATGAGTTCCACTTTAAAGGTCTAGAGAGGGACCCAGGCACTGGTAATTTTTAAATCTTCCCTGACACTACTAACATGTAACGAGGATGGAGAACTCTTGTTGTAATAGGTAGAACTTAAAACTAAATCAATGATTTTCAGCTAGAAGAAACGGAATGACCTAAGGACCTTTTTCAACATACATAAGACTATACTTTTTTGGCCATAATTATTAATGGGCTACACCAAGAACTCAGTAATCCAGTTAGGAAACAGAAGCTGAATGCAGAAGCCACCTTATTTTTAAGTGATGCTAAACCTTCTCTAAATAATATTTATGGGAATGTTAATAATATGAGTATTCTAGGCTGGGCGCAGTGGCTCACGCCTGTAATTCCAGCACTTTGGGAGACCAAGGTGGGCAGATCATGAGGTCAGGAGATCGAGACCATCCTGACTAACGGCGAAACCTCGAATCTACTAAAAATACAAAAACAAAATTAACCAGGTGTGGTGGCAGGCTGCTCCAGAGGCTGAGGCAGGAGAATGGCATCAACCTGGGAGGTGGAGCTTGCAGTGAGCATAGATCGTGCCACAGCACTTCAGCCTGGGCAACAGAGCAAGATTCCATCTCAAAAAATCAAAAAAGTTAAAAAAAAAGAGTATTCTAAAAACTACATGAAATTTCTGGAAATCGAATATGTTATCAGTCATAGTGTCATATGCCACAGAAGTAACTAGATTTCTATGTGAGCTGTGTCTTTACCATAATAAACCTAATAAAAATCTCATTAGATTTTTAATCATAGTCATTTTAAATCTTTGTCATTCCCAGACTGTTGCTTTGATTCTTCCTCAAAGTATTTATATTCAGCTACAGTCCAAAATTGCTTTTTCTTCAACGAGATATATGGAAAAGACTCTGACAATGATTCTTGAATACAAGTTTCTGATAACTTCAAGATCATACCACTGGACTTTCTGAGAACTTTCAAAATTTTAATGAACAGGCTGATACCTTCATGAAATTCAAGACAAAGAAGAAAAAAACCTTAGTTTTATTGGACTAAATAATCAAAACGATAATGTTTTCATAATTTTTTATTTGAAAATGTGCTGATTCTTTGCATGTTTTCTTCTCCAGATTTATGAACTTTCTCTTTTAAGCTCTTTATACTTCACAGCAATTTACTAAAGTATACTTTTGTGAACAAAAATTGAAACATTTGCTTTTGCTCCCAATATGAGTGCCCCAGAATTGGGAAACTATTCATGAGGATTCATATGCTTATAGTAATAAAGTTATCTGCACAAGTTCAGTAAGAATCTTCTCTCTTTATAACAGGACACATTGGAAAACATTGGTTATGTTACCAAGGCTTTGACTGGGATGTTCTCTTTGACAATACTCATAGAATAAACCCATAGGGAATACAGGGAAAGTCTGAAGTTGGCCTTGATTTGGCTTCCTAGTCTCAAAAGGTTTTTGAAAGTTTAATCTGAGAGTTTTATAAAACTTCTAGCAAAGCAAAGTTTAAAAAGAGTGTCTATGGTTTATTGCTACACTTGCTGCACTTAGGTAAAAAATCTAGGCAAGTTTGGTGAGACTCAACCTATTTTGCAAACTAATTCATCCTACTGGAATTATCTTTGGTAAAAATAGAGACTCTCATGTAGAGAAAAATTATGTTAAAAAGAAAAACTGTAGTACACCTGTTACCATATTGAACCACTGTTCATTATCTTTGAGTATTTATAATCCACTGGTAGACTGGACTGGACCCTGAATTGTTTTAGTTTTTCCAATGCAATTTTCTCCACTGAAATCATTAAGAGGAACAGCTCTGTTGCTGAAGCTATATAAGCTTGGATAGTGGATGCAGGACAGTGGGTGTAGCCCAACAAGTGAGAGCGGAAGCAGGGTGCGGCATCTCCTCACCCAGGAAGTGCAAGGGGGAAGGGAAATCTCTTTCCTAGCCAAGGGAAAACATGAAAAACAACACCTGGAAAATCAGGTCACTCCCACCCTAGTACGACACTTTACCAAGGGTCTTAGCAAATGGAACAACAGGAGATCATATCCTGGGCCGTGCTCAGAGGATCTCTGACCCACGGAGCCTCCCTCATTGCTAGCACAGCAGTCTGAGATCTTACTGCAAGTCAGCAGCGAGGCTGGGAGAGAGGCGCCCACCATTGCTGAGGTTTAAGTAGGTAAACAAAGTGGACAGGAAACTTGAAATGGGTAGAGCCCACCGCAGCTCAAGGAGGCCTGCCTGCCTCCATAGACTGCACGTCTGGGGACAGGGCATAGCCAAACAAAAGGAAGCAGAAACCTCTGTCGATGCAAATGTCCCTGTCTGACAGCATTGAAGAGAGTAGTGGTTCTCCCAGCACAGACTTTTGGATCTGAGAACAGACAGACTGCCTGCTCAAGTGGGTCCCTGGACCCTGAGTAGCCTAACTGGGAGACATCCCCACTAGCGGCAGACTGACACCCCACACCTCGCAGGGCCAAGTACACCTCTGAGATGAAGCTTCCAGAGGAACGATCAGATAGCAACATTGGCTGTTCAGCAATATTCACTCTTCTGCAGCTTCTGCTGCTGATACCCAGGCAAACAGGGTCTGGAGCGGACCTCAAGCAAACTCTAACAGACCTGCAGCTGAGGGTCCTGAACGTTAGAAGGAAAACTAACAAAGAGAAAGGACATCCAAACCAAAACCCCATCTGTATGTCACCATCATCAAAGATCAAAGGTAGATAAAACCACAAAGATTGGGAAAAAGCAGCGCAGAAAAGCTGAAAATTCTAAAAATCAGAGTGCCCTCCCCCTCCAAAGGAACGCAATTCCTTGAGAGCAATCGAACAAAGCTGGACAAAGAATAACTTTGACAAGTTGAGAGAAGAAGGCTTCAGACACTCAAATTTCTCGGAGCTAAAAGAGGAAGTACGAACCCAGCACAAAGAAATTAAAAACCTTGAAAAGAGATTTGACAAATGGCTAACTGGAATAATCAATATAGAAAAGTCCTTAAATGACCTGATAGAAATGAAAACCATGAGAGGAGAAAGAACTACGTGACAAATTCACAAGCTTCAGTAACCAACTCGATCAACTGGAAGAAAGGGTATCAGTGATTGAAGATCAAATGAATGAAATGAAGCAAGAAGAGAAATTCAGAGAAAAAAGAGTAAAAGGAAATGAAAAAAGCCTCCGGGAAATTTGGCACTATGTGACAAGTCCAAATCTACTTCTGATTAGTGTACCTGAAAGTGACTAGGAGAATGGAACAACTTGGAAAACACTCTGCAGGATATTATCCAGGAGAACTTCCCCTACGTAGCAAGGCAGGCCAACATTCAAATTCAGGAAATACAGAGAATGCCACAAAGATACTCCTCAAGAAGAGCAACTCCCAGACACATAATTGTCAGATTCACCTAAGTTGGAATGAAGGAAAAAATCTTAAGGGCAGCCAGAGAGAAAGGTCGGGTTACCCACAAAGGGAAGCCATCAGACTAACAGCAGATCTCTCAGCAGAAACTCTACAAGTCAGAAGACAGTGGGGGCCAATATTCAACATTCTTAAAGGAAAGAATTTTCATCCCAGAATTTCATATCCAGGTAAACTAAGCTTCATAAGTGAAGGAGAAAAAAAATCCTTTACAGACAAGCAAATGCTGAGAGATTTTATCACCAACAAATTGATAGACCGCTAGCAAGACTAATAAGGAAGAAAAGAGAGAAGAATCAAATAGACACAATAAAAAAATGATAAATGGGATATCACCATTGACCCCACAGAAATACAAACCACCACCACAGAATGCTATAAACACCTTTACGAAAATAAACTAGAAAACCTGGAATAAATGGATAAATTCCTGGACACATACACTCTCCCAAGACTAAACCAGGAAGAAGTTGAATCCCTCAATAGACCAATAACAGGCTCTGAAATTGAAGCAATAATTAATAACCTACCAACCAAAACAAGTCCAGGACAAGACGGATTCACAGCCGAATTCTACCAGAGGTACAAGGAGGAGCTGGTAAAATTCCGTCTGAAACTATTCCAATCAATAGAAAAAGAGAGAATCCTCCCTAACTTATTTTATGAGACCAACATCATCCTGATATCATAGCCTGGCAGAGACACAACGAAAAAAAGAGAATTTTAGACCAATATTCCTGACGAACATTGATGAAAAAATCTTCAATAAAATACTGGCAAACCGAATCCAACAGCACATGAAAAAGCTTATCCACCATGGTCAAGTGGGCTTCATCCCTGGGATACAAGGCTGTTTCAACAGATAAAAATAAATAAATATAATCCAGCATATAAACAGACCCAAAGACAAAAGCCACATGATTATCTCAATAGATGCAGGAAAGGCCTTTGAAAAAATTCAACAGCCCTTCTTGCTAAAAACTCTCAATAAATTCGGTATTGATGGAATGCATCGCGAAATAAGAGCTATTTATGACAAACCCACAGTAAATATCATACTGAATGGGCAGAAACTGGAAGTATTCCCCGTGAAAACTGGAACAAGACAGGGATGCCCTCTCTCGCCAATCCTATTCAACATACTGTTGGAAGTTCTGGTCAGCGCAATCAGGCAAGAGAAAGAAAAAAAGGGTATTCAATTAGGAGAAGAGGAAGTCAAATTGTCCCTGTTTGCAGATGACATGATTGTATATTTAGAACAACCCATCGTCTCACCCCAAAATCTACTGAAGCTGATAAGCATCTTCAGCAGAGTCTCAGGATACAAAATCAATGTGCAAAAATCACAAGGATTCTTATACACCAGTAACAGACAAACAGAGAGCCAAATCATGAATGAACTGCCATTTACAATTGCTTCAAAGAGAATAAAATACCTGGGAATCCAACTTACAAGGGATGTGAAGGACCTCTTCAAGGAGAACTAAAAACGACTGCTCAATGAAATCAAAGTGGACACAAACAAATGGAAGAACATTCCATGCTCACGGATAGGAAGAATCAATATTGTGAAAACGGCCATACTTCCCAAGTTAATTTAGAGATTCAATACGTTCCCCATTTAGCTACCAATGACTTTCTTCACACGATTGGAGAAAACTACTTTAAAGTTCATATGGACCCACAAAAAAGCCCGCATTGCCAAGACTATCCTAAGTCAAAAGAACAAACGTGGAGGCATCAGGCTAACTGACTTCAAACTATACTACAATGCTACAGTAACCAAAACAGCATGATACTGGTACCAAAACAGAGCTATAGACCAATGGAACAGAACAGAGCCTTCAGAAATAATACCACAAATCTACAACCACCTGATCTTCGACAAACCTGATAAAAACAAGAAATGGGGAAAGGATTCCCTATTTCATAAATGGTGCTGGGAAAATTGGCTAGCCATAAGTAGAAAGCTGAAACTGGATCACTTC